CCGGGTGCCTACTGTATATTGTGTACACCTGGTGCCTACTGTATATTGTGTCCACCTGGTGCCTGCTGTATATTGTGTAAACCTGATGTCTACTGTATGTTGTGCCTACTTTTTACCACCTGTTGTGCAATGTGTGTGACCGTCTGGTGCCTACTTTATAATTATAATACGATCTACATCATCCATCATGCTTTATCAGAGTTCTGTTTTCTTTAACTCTTTCTCCAAAATAAATTGTATTTTTGAAAATTTCAATATATTGTATGACATAACGTTTTTGTCACGACTAGAAAATGACAATATGACAAAGAATGAATGTACCTTTTAATTTTAAATCGTTATTCTGTTGAACATGTGTATTTATCTTAATAAGTTATTGTAATAAGGCGACCAAGGGAACGATAACGCGTAATACTTGATGGATACGGCATTAGAAAGCTACTATGAAAATCCGGTTTTTCTGACGACTTTGTAATTACTTGTTCCAAGCTCATCAATAATAAACAAGGGCGCCGTCTTCGCATCGTTTGTCACAACACTTATGTTTCTTTAACTACTTACTAATCAGAAACGTGGTGTTTATTATATCGTTTGGGGCCGAAAACTCAATAAACGTTGAAATTTTAACATGGCCTTTTGAATCATCGACGCAATATCTAACTAATAAACACACTGTATCGCTCATATGGTAGTGTAATTAAGTCTATCGATTATTTTTATTATTTGTCTAATTAATATCAACTGTACGAGTGGTATGGGTAGCCTCTGACAGGCGTTACGTTAACAGGTGGTATTTGTCTATGACAGAGGGTACAAGTCTTTGATAGGGATAATTTGTCTGTGACAGAGGGTACAAGTCTTTGATAGGGATATTTGTCTGTGACAGAGGTACAAGCCTTTGATGGGGATAATTTGTCTGTGACAGAGGGTACAAGTCTTTGATAGGGATAATTTGTCTGTGACAGAGGGTACAAGTCTTTGATAGGGATAATTTGTCTGTGACAGAGGGTACAAGTCTTTGACAGAGATTACTAGTCTTTGATAGATTACTAGTCTTTGACAGAGATAACTAGTCTTTACTAGTCTTTGACAGAGATAACTAGTCTTTACTAGTCTTTGACAGAGATTACCAGTCTTTACTAGTCTTTGACAGAGATTACCAGTCTTTGACAGAGATTACCAGTCTTTGACAGAGATTACCAGTCTTTGACAGAGATTACTTATCTTTGAGACACGTGGATAGCCTTTGAAGATATTATTGGAATTTGGAAGAGATTACCAGACACGACAGATGTTACTGGTCTTACGCAAAAGTTACTAGACTCTGACATAGGTTACTAGACTTTGACAGACGTTAATAGTATTTGGCAGTAGTTAGTAGTCTTTGGCTGAAGTAACCTGTGCTTAACAATAGTTACTGGCCTGTAAACAATAGTTGTGGGTTTCTAGAGAAACAGTGAAATGTTGTACGAACTCCAAAATAATACATGGACAATATATTTTTATTATGAATGGGTGGATGAAAAGATATCATTCAGTGTTGACGAAAGTCTCATGAACTTAGAAATTCGAAATAAATTTGGGGTCTGTTTATAGGAACCAAAGCGAATTATTCCTTAAACTATATAAAGGATAGAAAAAAGGGAGCTCCAACTTTATCAAGCATTAAAAACGCAATATTAACAACGATTTGGCAGACGATATAAAGACTAGCCCTGAGCTGTGCTGGAAAAACATCCGATCAGAAACGAAATCCGACAGGATCATCACTCAAATATGGTGCGAGATCAATGGCATCCACGTTGAGACAACGAACTTTTTTCTGGCACAAATGCAAAGGTCATTGTACCAGCAGTAACTGAAACGCCAAACTTGATACCTCGCTGGGACCTGAAAACATTCATTTTATTTTCTCCTATAATCCATTTAGGCAGTAATAAAATAACTATCTATCATATCCAACAAACCATCTCAAGAGGTAAGCATACCAGACTAATGAAAAATCTTAGTACACGTAACCCATGTCCTCGAGAAGTTTTTACTGATACATCGACATCATGTCTCACTTTGGACAGAAATCAAGTTGTCTCGGTCCATCAAAACAGGATTATTAGTGACCAAAGACCGGTTATAGTCACAGTAATGATATTAACCACATCTAGATCTAAGTAAGCCCTTTAGTGAAGTACCTCGTCACCTGCTTCTTCATCAAGTTGTATAGAGTGGATAAGGTAGATTAATTCTGTTGTGGATCTAATCCGTTCTCGGATATATCACCCAAACTGGTTAATAAAAAATACAGAAGAATTATCATCTGGTCATTAATGTCAGTCAAATAATTCGTCACGTACTACATCCGAGATACAATCGTTCACAATGTGTTAGTGGTGTGTTACCTATATTGTTCACAATGTGTTAGTGGTGTGTTACCTATATAGTTCACAATATGTTAGTGGTGTGTTACCTATATAGTTCATGATGTCTTAGTGTTGTGTTAACACAATGTGAACAATATAGGTAACACACCACTAACACATTATAAACATTATAGGTAACACACCACTAACACATTGTGAAGAATATAGGTAACACACCACTAACACATTGTGAAGAATATAGGTAACACACCACTAACACATTATAAACATTATAGGTAACACACCACTAACACATTGTGAAGAATATAGGTAACACACCACTAACACATTGTGAAGAATATAGGTAACACACCACTAACACATTGTGAACAATATAGGTTACACACCACTAACACATTATAAACATTATAGATAACACACCACTAACACATTGTGAAGAATATAGGTAACACACCACTAACACATTGTGAAGAATATAGGTAACACACCACTAACACATTGTGAACGATATAGGTAACACACCACTAACACATTGTGAACGATATAGGTAACACACCACTAACACATTGTGAACAATATAGGTAACACACCACTAACACATTGTGAAGAATATAGGTAACACACCACTAACACATTGTGAACAATATATGTAACACACCACTAACACATTGTGAACGATATAGGTAACACACCACTAACACATTGTGAACGATATAGGTAACACACCACTAACACATTGTGAACAATATAGGTAACACACCACTAACACATTGTGAGCTATAAAGGTAACACACCACTAACACATTGTGAACAATATATGTAACACACCACTAACACATTGTGAACAATATATGTAACACACCACTAACACATTGTGAAGAATATAGGTAACACATCACTGACACATTGTGAAGAATATAGGTAACACACCACTGACACATTGTGAAGAATATAGGTAACACACCACTGACACATTGTGAAGAATATAGGTAACACACCACTAACACATTGTGAACAACATATGTAACACACCAGTAACAAACTATGAACGATAATTGTGACACACCAATAACATATTGCTAACTTAGGAATCAAATTGGTGACACATCACTACCATGTTGCGAACCAGTTATGTGATATGTAACTAAGACATCGTGAACCAACCAGATAACACACCGAACCATTTGTTTTCAATAAAACACCTCTATATTCTCTGTCCAATACCGACGAATAGACAGCCTTCAGGTTATGTTCTTTACATACAATCCATCCTTAAACTTATTACTTTTAATTTCTCTCAATGGTAATAAAAACATTACACAAATACTAAAGAGAAAGCATCGTTATACATAATAGTGATTCTCAAGGTGATAGTTTTCATACATTGCAGAGGGAAACAGTCTATAAATCATGTATAAGCCATAATGTGTTTTTGTAGAAGTGGTTGCAAACAATTGGTTAATACAATCCGATAGATACAATGTCACGTGACACGTAAGCTGTCTTTTAACCGGTGTCAACGTACGATTATAACGGATAGATTCACGGTAATACTCCGATATCAATATTCAGGGAATACAAAACCACATGTACGTTTTAGTCGAATTTAGAACATATATCAGTTTGATGGTCTCATCGGGGCAAGTGTTGAGACGAGAGATTATACTGTCTGTGTATTGCTGTCGACACATCGCCTAATTCAGTAATGAATTTTCCTGGAAACAGTGTATCACATCCATATGAATGTAGTGTAAGTCACGTGAACGAGGTAATCTCATGCTTCCGACGGTTAATATTGTGTACAAATGCACTTATCACCAGAGAAGATAATATGGCGAATGGTGATAAAAATGCTTTCCAAATGGTTTCCCAAGAAATCACACGAACATGTTTTAAACAAACTAGCAGATCACATGAGACGTTAACAATTATGTTGCTAGGATAGGAGCACGTGAATAAAGTAACCATGCATGTGTGACAAATTCACATTTTTTAAGGAAATATCACAAATATATTTTACATCTATCGGACAGTCTTTGATAAGCAATAGTCCCGCCTACTTATGGTAGGAAAAAAAAAAAAAGCATTGTTCATCTTCATTATTACGCATGGTAAGTCAAACTGATGTGCATTCCGAAAGAGATGTCGACTTAGTACTTCATCAAAATATATATTATCAAAGACGAAATATTTTTGTATGAGTTTCTCATATATAGATAACGAGATACCTACAGTATATATATGATATTAGGACGTACATGGTTGACAATTTCTTACCAGTACAGGTCAGCCTGGTATACGCTACGAAACAGGTACAGGTATAAGCGATGGTAAAACACTACCGCAACGCTAACAAAACGGCTCGTGCATCTGGCTACTGTTATCACAGCCAGTAAACAATACGCTAACACCGACTTAAACACGCAAAATAAAGAGTTTTTCTGTCAACCAGTAGTGAAGATTTATCAGCTAGGATACAAGGAAATACAATAAAGGGTATTCTCGAGAGGCAAACTCTTCGATCCATTGGTATCCGTCCACATCCCATGTCTGGTGAAGACTTCTATTTCAGTTTCCTGTATTTGGTTGCCTGGACTTCGCATATGTTGAGGACTGCTGTTTTTATTCCCCGTCACTTGTGTCTGTTGAGGACACATGTTTCTGTTTCCTGTACCTTGTGACTGCTGATGACTCCTGTTTCTGTTTCCTGTACCTTGTGACTGCTGATGACTCCTGTTTCTGTTTCCTGTACCTTGTGACTGCTGGTGACTCCTGTTTCTGTTTCCTGTATGTTGTGACTGCTGATGACTCCTGTTTCTGTTTCCTGTATGTTGTGACTGCTGATGACTCCTGTTTCTGTTTCCTGTACCTTGTGACTGCTGGTGACTCCTGTTTCTGTTTCCTGTATGTTGTGACTGCTGATGACTCCTGTTTCTGTTTCCTGTATGTTGTGACTGCTGATGACTCCTGTTTCTGTTTCCTGTACCTTGTGACTGCTGACTGCTGATGACTCCTGTTGTTTCTGTTTCCTGTATGTTGTGTTTCTGTGTGACTGATGACTCCTGTTTCTGTTTCCTGTACCTGTGACTGCTGGTGTTTCCTGTACTTGTGACTGCTGATGACTCCTGTTTCCTGTATGTTGTGACTGCTGATGACTCCTGTTTCTGTTTCCTGTATGTTGTGACTGCTGATGACTCCTGTTTCTGTTTCCTGTATGTTGTGACTGCTGATGACTCCTGTTTCTGTTTCCTGTACCTTGTGACTGCTGATGACTCCTGTTTCTGTTTCCTGTATGTTGTGACTGCTGATGACTCCTGTTTCTGTTTCCTGTATGTTGTGACTGCTGATGACTCCTGTTTCTGTTTCCTGTTTGTTGTGACTGCTGATGACTCCTGTTTCTGTTTCCTGTATGTTGTGACTGCTGATGACTCCTGTCTCTGTTTCCTGTACCTTGTGACTGCTGATGACTCCTGTTTCTGTTTCCTGTTTGTTGTGACTGCTGATGACTCCTGTTTCTGTTTCCTGTATTGTGACTGCTGATGACTCCTGTTTCTGTTTCCTGTACCTTGTGACTGCTGATGACTCCTGTTTCTGTTTCCTGTACCTTGTGACTGCTGATGACTCCTGTTTCTGTTTCCTGTACCTTGTCACTGCTGATGACTCCTGTTTCTGTTTCCTGTATGTTGTGACCGCTGATGACTCCTGTTTCTGTTTCCTGTACCTTGTGACTGCTGATGACTCCTGTTTGTTTCCTGTACCTTGTGACTGCTGATGACTCCTGTTTCTGTTTCCTGTACCTTGTGACTGCTGATGACTCCTGTTTCTGTTTCCTGTATGTTGTGACCGCTGATGACTCCTGTTTCTGTTTCCTGTACCTTGTGACTGCTGATGACTCCTGTTTCTGTTTCCTGTACCTTGTGACTGCTGATGACCCCTGTTTCTGTTTCCTGTATGTTGTGACTGCTGATGACTCCTGTTTCTGTTTCCTGTACCTTGTGACTGCTGATGACTCCTGTTTCTGTTTCCTGTACCTTGTGACTGCTGATGACTCCTGTTTCTGTTTCCTGTGTCTTGTGACTGCTGATGACTCTTGTTTCTGTTTCCTGTGTCTTGTGACTGCTGATGACTCCTGTTTCTGTTTCCTGTGTCTTGTGCCTGTTGAAGACACATGTTTCGTTTTCCTGTATATAGTGTGTTTTTAGGACTTGCTGTATCCACCTGTAATTTTGTCTTTTTGGATAACCATCTCTCATGTGCTTATCAATTAAAGTGTGTGTGAACCTATCACTGAGATTTTCGGTGATGGTGGGCGTTTCGTTGGATATGTTGACGGTTGACGTGTTAGTGGATGTATCGAATGAATTGACGTTGACGTGTTAGTGGATGTATCGAATGAGTTAACGGTTGACGTATTTGTGGATGTATCGAATGAGTTGACGGTTGACGTGTTAGTGGATGTGTCGAATGAGTTGACGGTTGACGTGTTAGTGGATGTATCGAATGAGTTGACGGTTGACGTGTTAGTGGATGTATCGAATGAGTTGACGGTTGACGTATTTGTGGATGTGTCGAATGAATTGACGGTTGACGTGTTAGTGGATGTATCGAATGAGTTGACGGTTGACGTATTTGTGGATGTATCGAATGAGTTGACGGTTGACGTATTTGTGGATGTGTCGAATGAGTTGACGGTTGACGTGTTAGTGGATGTATCGAATGAGTTGACGGTTGACGTATTAGTGGATGTATCGAATGAGTTGACGGTTGACGTGTTAGTGGATGTGTCGAATGAGTTGACGGTTGACGTATTTGTGGATGTGTCGAATGAGTTGACGGTTGACGTATTAGTGGATATGTCGGGTCTTCTGATGCTGACGGAAATTAGTACATAATAAGAATAAATAGAATATCTAGATAGGCATATATATCTACCATAATCTAATATTACCACATCAATGATCGATTTTTATACTTTTATGGTGAATATCACAGATGAAAATGAACATGAGTTATTTCCGGAGTACCTCTAACAAGGCTGAACGGAAGGCATGTAACAAACCTCGCTGGGCACAAAACTGATTTCAATGAGAAGTGGTTAATATTGGAACGATTTACCATCAATCAACTAATGTTGAGAACGACAAAAAGGAAATATTTACCAGAAAATGGGGGAAATACCAGAAGACTGCGCTAGATTAGGGTCATTAATTACACCATGTACACTTAATTAAAAAACACACAACATTATCATTGTTATAAAAGCGAGACCTCATGTCGTTCCTTCCATGCAACGATCAATTCATTCTTCCGCTACAGGTGATTAATAGGCAAATTGTCCGGGGTTAAAGGTAAAATGACTCTCCACAAGAATCAGGATCTCATCACAATGGAGGGCTCGGCCAATATAGAACAGGCCGCAATTAAACCATACTTAGATAGAATACGTTTTCCATTCTATTACCACTCGTACAGAAATCCAATAACCTGTCAACGAACCAGTACTCGGATAAGGGTTTACAGTGGGGAAGGTCGGACCAGGGAGTAGTGTTTAGTCAATACGTGCCGTACTTCACAACCCTTGTAGTATCATCTGTCCACTAACAACACATAAGATTTAATAGTGTGTCTTGTCTACAAGTTTATTACGGTGTTTCAAGAATTATCGTTGCGGCCATAGGAGTCCAAACCTTCGGTTAAAATCTGAAGCTGTCACTGGTGACACAGAAAAAGAATAATGTGAAGGTAAGGAAACACGACAATATGATATAATGTGAACGACACGTCCGACAGGCTGGACAAGGACATACGACGCGGGATTCAGAGAACGCCATTTAAATAATCCCACTCCATTGTTAAAGACATGTTTAATATTTATATTTTTCAGTGTACGACTTAACCTGAAAAACTTAAACAAAAATGTTTCACTTATAAAATATATTTAATGTTGAACTGAACGAAGCACAAGAAGTAACACAAACAATTAAGCGACGTTGATGAGAACTACCATTACCTTATTTCTACACGTACGTATGACGTCGAGAACAGAGAGCAATACCTTTACCTTATTCCTAAACGTACTTTTCACGTCGATGAGAACAGTACTATTACCTTATTCCTACACGTACGTATGACGTCGAGAACAGAGAGTAATACATTTACCTTATTCCTAAACGTACTTTTCACGTCGATGAGAACAGTACTATTACCTTATTCCTACACGTAAGTTTGACGTCGAGAACTGAGAACAGAATTCTCTCAGTGTCAGAGTCCAAATAAACATTTGATACGTTTATTACACAGGCGCCTTGTAATAAAGCCTCGCGCGCGGAGTAATTCACGTACTTTTCATCGCTTCATCCACAAACACGCATAGCCGAGAATTGTTTGCAGGCTCGTATTAACAAAACTGTTTTATAAATATCAACATCACCAACCCTGGGACTCGGCCTTTCCGCCGTCGTCCACGTGTGATTGAAAGTGTACTATTATTCATAAATGTGTAAGATTTGTAAGATTACTTTCAAAGATGTAAAAAGTGTTTATGATATATTATACATTGAGCAATAGTAAATATTAAAAAGAAAAGTGTTGTTTTATTGCGTGTTTTAAGGCACTATATTGAACCTACACGTAAGTTTGACAGTCGAGAAAAAACAGTTAAACACTGAGTTGGAACATTCAAAGTCCATATTATGTTTTCGTAGTTTGCAAAATTCTTCTATTTCAGCATATTTTTTATGTATATGGCCCAAGGAAAAAATAGAAATCTGTGCATTTTTACCACATTTTGTGACCCCTCGGGTGGAATGATTTGACGTCGAAGAGAACATTACTTTTACCTTATTCTTACACGAAATTTTCACGTCGATGAGAACAGTACTATTCCCTTATTCCTACACATATGTTTGACGTCGATGAGAACAGTGCTAGTTCCTTATCCCCGCTAACCCTGATAGGTCTTAATGGATGCGGACAGAAATTGCCTCTTTACCCATACAAAAAACGTTACTATTTGTTCCCCGTGAAATCAAGAGCCATAAGTGAGGTAAGTCCATACCTAATATATAATAAGGTTGATTCAAACACGACATTTTATTGAGAAAAAAATAATCACTTGTAAGTATACAAACATATATACAACAACTTCAATCTTCATGATTTGATTATTTTCTCGTCAAAGTATGTTCTATTCCTGAAAAATGAAATCGAAACACATCAACATATGATTTTTAAAAAACTGACCTAATGATTTTATCCCACGTCTACTAATGTAAAATTTTATTTGTGGGTTTATTACTCTCAACGACAAATACATATAATGTAATTTTGTAGTACATAAACATAATTGTAATTTTATTTCAATCAAGTAAATGCTGGCTCAACATATACAAGTAGAACAATTTAAATATATAACGAAAGAAAACAGATCCAAGCCATCCTAGGTTCGCCCATTGACAAACATACAAGCATGTTGAAGAGCGATCGATACTGTTACAGAAGCATCTCCAAGAAATTCTAAAATCAAATTACTTTTCATTGAAAGTGATTTATGACAATAAAGCGTATTATTTCTGAAATAAATCTGAAGATTTTTATTCAAAACATAACGCGAATTGTTATGGTGTTCTACCGACGTTAAAATCTAGACTTCAAGAATCACAAACATGCTTAAAAAAACCCAACCCAACAAGATATTCATGTAGGTCTTGACCAGAAAGCAAATTAGAGTGTCTGGAGTAGATGTCTAGACTACAGGCCACCAGCTCAAAGAAGGCTGTACCGGAGTATGTACAAGTAAAATCACACCAAACTAGTCTGTCACAATGGTGGAGCATGTTTACATCGGCCCTAACCTTTATAATCTGGCTTCAATAAGTCAGAAATCCACCAACGTGTTTGTTAAGTGGTAGAATTTGCCTAAACTTCTAATCTTTCACACCATTAGGTAGGCTATCCTTTTTTAGATGGTCAATTTTCGGTTGGTTTTCTTTGATATTCAATAAACAATGAACAGTTTTTAGTATTTTACAAGCCCTATCAAGGTCAAGGACCAGACACATAAAACACTACTAACATTTCTATTGAATTACTGCCCAGACGAAGTAATATTTGTGATGATCCAGGCGTTTCAGTGACCAGAGCTCACATGAAGATCACTTAGACGTGAAGTCGGAAGACGCTGGTATAAATAGCCTTTCACCGCCATCAATGTTATAGCATAGATGACGGTGGCGGAAGTTTTCCGTCACTAATTTACCCCGTATTTTCTTGTATTGATGACAGTGATGGTATACTACTCTGTATGATTTTATAATGGTGACAGTTTCAAGTCGGCCAATATGAAAGATATGAAATTGAGTATGCGTTTCATTCGGAATTTTTCGTAGTTGTTCAATTTTTTTTTATGAACTGTCCCTTATCAACTCAAACAACAAATGAACGTGACGGAAGAGTCGTTGTTCAAGAGGAAAGGTGATAAACATGAAACAATAAAATAAAATGATGGAGGGGATATGTCAGAGGTGTTGATTGAAAACAAATAGCTACGATATTCGGGTAGATAACTAATTCCGAGAATGCCGGCATTGTTATTCAGCAGCAGAAGTCCCTCTCGTCTTCATTACCATATTGACGCTCTATCTAACGTTAGATTTGTTGAAAATATGAAGTAAAAGACATATACTTTATATACTAGAATCATATTTCTAATCCATATATTCAAAATATTTAGTGTTAATTACTTAAAGCGTCATAAATCATATAAGCTCACAGGGATAATATTGAACCACGTGACTAGTAACGAAATAGAAGAGTTCACGCGTTCAAAACAGAGCGCAAAATTGATGATGTTTTTAACAAGGTTGCTTAGGAACTTGTAACGTTTCCTATTTAATGAAAACAGGCTACAGTAGAAATTTAGCTACTGTAGTTCTATGGAACGAATTGTAACATAACCGGAAGTTAGATTTGTATATCAAACCGCCTAACCTCAAAGAGAAAATCAACACTTACATGTATAAGCAGATATACAGACTACCGACATTAAGAAGACGCGGAGCAATTTATTTTCATTTAAGAAGGTAAGTGAATTCATAATAGCATAAATTAGTGATTCATTATCAGCCTCCCTTATTGCGCTTCAGTTAGCCGTATTGAAAATTGGTCCTTCG